ACGCTATCTTCATCGTGGTAAGGTTTGGTAAGATTAAGTTACTAAGCTAAAGCCTTTTGCATTTTCTACCTCGAACTATAGTTAGGGTGTTTGTAACGAGAAACCTGAGTGCAAATCATCAATCGAAAGAGTTACCGCAGCCGCTCCGTAACACGCTGACATGTTGCCGATGACACTGCTGTAGCGCGACGAATGAACGGCGGCAATTATAAGCGAAACGGCCTCACACAACGCCCATATGGCACAACTGATGCATTCCTGAAACAAAAACGATTAGAGGAAAATGACAGACAACTAACGATCTGAACTTACTCCTATGCGCCAGGGCACCCTGGCCCAAAAGCCTGTCTCTGGTAGGTGCAGAATGTATAAAATCAGCGCGACCAACGAAGATATAAGAGCGATAACGTTCACTCCGTAAATATAGCCACTTCCGCTAAGACTAACCTCAGACGAAGAGAGACAGATCAAAACGATTATGCAGAATACCTAAAAAACATGAATAACATCATATAGCATAAACAGGCACAGAAACACACACATTTCACTGGGCGCATCGCCTTTAGAGGGTTTGTCTACCTTTTAATATTCCCCACATCACTTTGCGTTAGCGCTGACGTGGCAAGATCGATTTATGCATGGCATCGTTCTTTAACTTTGTAAACATTCAGCCAGATGCACAATAAGCTTGAATATTTTAAAACGCTTTTCACAACGAAAACACCCTCGACATAAAATCTGAATTTATCATACTTTTAAACTTCACACTGGAGGCAGGTCAGTGCGCCTACAATCAAAAGTAGCGCGTGATTTAAACAATGTGGTAGCAAGTTTTAGAAGCTGAAAACAATCACTCAAGACCGGGAGGTAAAAAAATATAAGTGGAAGGGTAAAAAATTAGAAGTTAGAATTGAAAGTGAAACGCCTCAATCTCACTGAAGCTCAAATTCCGTAAATGCGCTAGGAAATGGACAGAAAAACGCTGAATGATAATCATACTCATGTACACCGCTGAAAATCACCAAAAGACCATTCCTCGGAATGGATGCAGATTCGAATGCTTCTTTTGTGGATGATATCATCAACGGCATTTGCCAGTTCGTGGCTGTGTGAAAGCTTCTCCAAATGTTTTTCAGAAACTTCTGTCTTCTGCAATTCTTATTCATCTTGAATCAGCGAATTTATTCAGGTTATCTTACCATCGACCTGACGGCCTTCCTACGGCCGCGTATCGTCTCTCGAAACCCGGAATTGATTTTAATACATCTCTGCTCCAGCGATGGTCGCTTCATCTTGTCAACTTGTTCTGCCCATTGCCTTTTTCAACTTCTTTGTATGTGCAATGATATTGCAGCTTCTGTTTCTACTTTTGTACATTCATTCTTCTTTCTATCTCTTTTTGTTATTTCAAAAATACGCCTTTCCATGCCGCGTTGCGAAATTTGTAGGTTATGAATAGCTTTCAGAATTTGCTTCCTGCTTCAAGCAGATGAGTAGCCTCCCAGAGAGAAACATTTACAGACTTCCAAAAATGATTCATGCCATTTTTAACTTTCTGCTTATACTGTTTTGCATTCTCGGTTATTTGCATTTGCGTAGATGAGTTTCCCCCAAAAAGTCGTAGTTTTGCATCACTTCAAGTCTGCGTCCATTGGCTTTAACAGGTTGTGCGGTCATGTATTTCATGAACATGGCCTGAGTCTTCTTCAACTTCATTTTCAGTTCTATTCTGATGCTCGCATCGCTCAACAAATGAATTTTTCTTCGGAGCTCTTCTAGTGATCGTGAGAGGATCACAATATCGCAGATGTATTAAATAGTGCGCATATTGCTGTAATGGAATAACATGCAATCCTTTCCTACAACTGTTGTGAACATCTCTATTAATACTGCGTTTCTGTGTCAGAAGCCATTTTCGAGTTTGAACTTGTTTTTTTCGTGAAGTTGCACACTGGCAGCAGTACTCTTGTAAATCATGGCCGATAAGGTCCTATCCTTTCTCGACTCCCTGACTCCTCCGTGAGGCCGGTACAGAACATATGTAGGCAATGCAGACTGAGCCGAAAGCCTTCTCGAAATCAATGAACCACAGAAGAAAACCTGATATTCGTTGCTTGTCTAAATACTTTCTTGCAGATGATATGATGTACCATAAATAAGGGTTCATAAGCCGGGATACGTCATCATGTGTATAAATGCTACAAATCTAGTTTTACATTTTATGTAACGACGCTTTCCTCCCATAGGCATGTGTCATCATTCATGCGATCGAACGCTTCACGGTGTTCGAGCATCTGCTCTGCTAGGTGAATTTCGCGCAGCTTCTTTCGTTTCTGATGTTTCTATAACACGAGAGGTATCGACGCAATGAAGTCTTAATCTTCCACGGAGCTACGGATTACGCTGGAATGCGGTGCAATAAGATGTAAACTAACTTTAATGATGAAAAAATAGCATAACAGTTTACTCATACAAAACGCAAAAGATACTGTAGTCAGTCCGGTGACTGACCAAAACCGACGTTTCAGCCTCTGTCTCACGGGCCTTCTTCAAAGTAGTAGGTGGCGTTGAACTTACGCAAATGTGGCTAGACGTCCGTAACAGTTGATATTTTTGGAGCCAGAAGGCCTTCTGACGAACAACTACTTTCACGAAATTTCATCACCAATCTACCCAATCTACCATGAAGAAGGCCAGTCAGATCGGGAATAATCAGAGAATAGTAACCCTCCTTCATGATAACCGACAACAGTTCGGTCGAAAAGGTGGAATTCTAGTAAATAAAATGCGTTCGTTTCGCATGCTGTCAATCATTTTTAAGTCATCTGTAACACGGTATTATTATGAGACTTAGAAATTATTTACTAATAAGTAAGATATCGTGTAATGAAACTGTTGCACTATGCTACGCAATCAACATAAGTACAGTTTTCACACGGACATTATGTAAGCAAATAGAGCACCAGATTTAGCAACATGCACCGCATTTATGACAATTAATTTGCATAACAACAAGATGTACGATTCACGGAGTACAATGTAACGAGACATCAAAAACATGGGTTCATATGCAGTAGTACGTTAATTGGATAATAACTTTTACAAGACGAGATTCCGCGACACATTCAATCGCCAACTTTCTCTTAATTACCCTAAGGGGTGTATTTAAGTTGGCCAGTAGGATAGAGCACCAGCTTCTAAACTATCGCTGCTCATGAGCAAGCTGATTGCCACATCGAATTAAATATAGCAACACACTGCAGGTACGCAAACATCACAAAACCGTTAAATGAGTCTCTATGAGGAAGGAGGTCAATATCGGCTAAATTGAAAATATTCGTTAAAAGATTACTTATCAGCCATTCCCGTATAAAAGCTACTTAACTAAACTGCTGGTCTCTAGACGGGTTCAGATAGTGGCTGACCAAAAAGACGAAACTGAAATGCACTAAAAAGATTTATGATCATTAACAGTTGTCGTCCTTTGTAACAACGGTAGACGATGAACAAATCATGATTGTCGATATGCTGTACACGTTGGATAGAAAAAAACAAGCGAAGGCAATGACAACGAAAGATACAAATTTATGAGCAAAAAACCGTCCCGTAATGACTGCCCAACAAACAAGCTAAGGTAATGCAGTCATTTAAGCATAAGCAGTTTTATCTCGTAACTAAAACAGCCATTGACTACCCGGTATTTCCTAGGTAGCAAATTATCGAATGCAGATGAGCAACAGGCAGAATATGTTAGGGATATACGGTTGATAACGAATGAAAACTTACGATCTGAGCTAGTCGCAGCAAGCCGTATGGCCAAGAACAAATGTAGGCGAAATCGAAACGAAGCGTCATTTCCAAATCCTAAATAAACATTAACATCACGTCAATAAATTAAGCTATCAAAAGTTGATTTCTTAACGAGCCACGTGGTCAGAATAATTTGAAGCTCTCGCGGAAATGAGTTGCACAGTGAACAGTTGCCGTTAACAACTCACCAGACAACTAGGAACCAAAAAAATCTGCGACTTCGGCACTCAGCATTACAAGAGGCAAATTCTGTGTTGCAAGTTCGATTGTCCATCTGTTTTGTAGCGAAGGCAAGTCACATGAAGTCTGCAATATGGCCTGACGGTACAAAGCCGAAGCACCGGCGGTCACGAAAGCTCGCCTCCTGGGGAAAGCGACGGTTGACCTCAAGGATAGGCAGTCATTTTGTCGAATATGCCACAACAGATTATGCCGTGCGGATATTATCTTGTCCACTAGGGTAAGCTCGGCGGTTATTTCAGTGTCACAACACATGTCGAAGAGAATCCTGGTCTGCAGTATGAATGGGAAACAGGCGATGTTGTATGCCATTGTCGCCCATGCTCTGACAAATGTATCGAGTGTCAGCGACGGAGATCTTTCTATGATTCTTCGCAGTTAACTGTTAGCACCCTGATACGTCAAGATACTACTGTTGTCAAAGGCAATTTCGACGCGAATGTGGGAGTCGAGTACAATATATGGCCAAGTATACTTTGCCGACAGGTATTAAGAGCGCTAATGTCAATGTAGGTGTCTAATAAGCATTTGTGCGATAGTCAATAGCTTGTGATACCGATTTTCCTCCTAAGCATATTCACCGAACGGCCTGGACGTTCCCTAATGGAAGCCAAAGCACCCAGCTTAAACCACGTCCTCATCAACTGCCACTAGTGAAGTTCTTTAATCGAGACCGACGTCAGGCGTGGCGCCTGCATGGGTCAGATCACCATATGGTCATAGCAAAACTTCGTGTAATATTAGTCGTCTCGCACTGATGCCGTCTGGTTGACACACATCAGTTGCCACATGGTGACAGGCTAACATATGATGAAACAGTACGGTCAGCCTATAAAAAGGAGGTAAAAATGCCCTAACGATACCCTCAGTGCTCAGTCAGGAAACGGAAACACCGACGCTTACAAAAATTTCAAGGAAGCCGTCATTTCCTAGACGAAAAATCAGTTGGAGTCAGGAAGAGAGTCGATAAACTGCCCTGGATTATGAAGACTAACTTTAGAGTGGCAAGGACTCACGGAAGGAGCAACTACAACCCATGACTCTATCCTCAAAGGCAACTTATCGTGATCTCGTTCATGCAGTCAACTAGAGCTACAGTTTAACGATAAGCAGAGTGATCCTGTCCTTATCCAAAACGCAAGGGGTATCTCACTGGCTTCCCACAAGGAATGTATCAAAAGATGGGCTGAGACTTTCCAACAGCTGCTCAATGACTGCCCCTCAGATTTGCCATTTATAACAGTTAAAAGCTGCGCAAAACCAACATTAAAGGTTAAAGCAGATACACATACAAAAGTAAAAATACAAAAAGCCCTGCTACACCTCAAGGCGAAGAAGGACTGAATAGTGGTTTGAATTCCTTCAAAGTAAATTACACCTAGAGGTACGCAAATAGTAGAAAAACTTCATACCCTGTTTCATTAAATGTGGGCCTATAAACGTTTAACAGGAAAAAGTAGAATTGTGGAGTATTTGTCCCCATATATAAAGGGGTCAGGTGATCGAGTATTTAAATTATCATAGTATTACACTACTATCAAATGCCGTGATACGCTTCCCTTGGATTACCCCGGAAAGACTGAGGCAGCAAGCTGACGGGAAATTTCGCCAAAATCAATCAGGATTCACGGTGCATACTCGATCCCCGATGAAATTTTCACTTTGCAAATGATCAATGAGCAATAATGACATTTCAGTTGTCAGAAAATATTTTTTCCTCGACTTCAAGGAATGATGTAAAAAGTCTGGAAATGCCACGCGATACCTAGCACATCGCTTCTGTTTCGGAAAAGAAAAAGAAACCATATCTGCAATCACAGTTGAAAGAGAACTATGTGAACGGCTTTCCATTAACCGTGGGGTGCTCCAGTTAGATGTGCTCCTGCCTTTGTCGTTCAACAGTGTTCTCGACTTTCTTCTCCAAAACAGTGCTGACCCCGGCAAAAAAGGATACATTCAACAGGGAGGATATATT